ATTTTATTTCTTGAGTTTGCAGTTCCTGCGTGAAACATTGTCTCAAGAAGTTGCTTGATATGTTTAGGGATTCTTTTTACAGACTCTCTAATTTTTTGATGTTATTGTAATACCTAGGGTTCCTCAAAATCAAATCAAATCAAATATTTAAGCAATTTGAATTTGATTTGATTTTTCAAATCGAATCAAATCGAATCAAATTGAACTCAAATATTTGATCGAATCAATTTGAATCAAATATTTGTCAAATCAAATCAAATCAAATAAATATTTGATTGAATCAAATCAAATCAAATCAAATATAAAAAAATTTTTTAATTTTTACAATGATATATTAAAATAAAGTTATTATAAAGGTTTAATTAAGAAAATTATTAGTAATTACACTAAAAAATTTCAAAAATAGCTTTTATAAAGTAAGTTTAGTAATGGGTAAATTTTTACTATTAAACTTAATAAAATAACTCTGCAGTCTCAGTTTTACTAAGAAAATTTAGTAATAATTGCCATTGCAGCTTTGGTTTACTAAGAAAACTTAGTAATAACTGTCATTGCAACTTTTGTTTACTAAGAAAACTTAGTAATAACTGCTATCGCAGCTTCGGTTTACTAAGAAAACTTAGTAATAACCGCCATCTCAGCTTTGTAACAATGTTATTATTAAAAAATGTTTCCAAAGTCACAGAGGCATTTTTTACTAGGTTTCTTAGTAAAAAAGCGTTTCTGAAGCAGCGAAGGCATTTTTTTACTAGATTTCTTAGTAAAAAGATGTTTCCAAAGCCACAGAGGCGTTTTTTACTAGGTTTCTTAGTAAAAAACATTTTCGAAGCTGCAGAAGCATTTTTTTACTATGTTTTTTAGTAAAAAATGTCTCTGAAGCTGCAAAGGCATTTTTATTATATTTTCTTAGTAAAATAGCATCTCTGAAGTCGCGAAGGCATTTTTTTACTATGTTTTTTTTAGTAAAAAAGACATTTCCAAAACTGCAAAAGCAATTTTTACTATGGTTTTCTTAGTAAGAATCACTCCTGAAGCTTTGAAAATGGCTTTACTATCAATTCGAATCAAATCAAATATTTGAATACTTGATTTGAATTTGATCGAATCGAATCAAAGATTAACTTGGATTTGATCAAATAAATCATTCTTTGATTTGAATTTGATCAAATCAAATATTCAAATATCAAATCGAATTGCAGAACTCTAATGTTTATATTAAAATCACCTATAATAATATGATATAATTTTTTGATTTGGCTTCTAGTATAAGATCTAGAATCTTTTGTTATATTTTTAGTATATATTGATGATCAGGAGTATTATATGTATTAGTAAAAAGATAAATTTGAATGATTATTAATTTTTATTTATTTTTCATTTGAAAATGATTCTATCATAAAAGCCTTAATAGTTAAAAATATATTTAGAAATAGAAGATTTGACTATAAAACCTATCCTTTATAATTTTGAGAGTGATTTTCATTTAATAAAAAATAATTATATGGGTGATCAGGTAGATCAGATAACTTAAAGTTATTACAAATAGAATAGGATTGTTACATAGTTAAGTAAGTTTTTGAAAGACTGAGGATGTCAAAGTTATGAAGTGAAAAAATTATTCAATTTGATTTTTTTTTGTTTGAAATACAGTTTCTAATATTATAAGTTACTATTTTAAAATTGTTAATCTCTTCACTTAATTTGTAAAAGAGAGATATATTTATTTGTAGTATTCATTGGGTATTATTAGAATATATTTGTAAAAATTGCATCATATTGTCTTTCATAATTTTGAGATTGTTTTTAGTATGACTGAAGTTATCTTGTAAAACTGAAATTTGTTTTCTTATTAATTGATCATTTGGTCATGTGATATTGATGAAGAAGGCATTGAAGTAGAGAAATGATTTTGAATAGAAACAAATTCATTTGGAGAGAAATAGTTATTTTCATTGAGAGCAAAATCATTTGAAAGTGAATTATTGATTAGGATTAAACTGCTGATATAAAGTTGATTTTCAATAGTTTCTACTTGATTGATAATATGAATTTGGATTTGTTTTAATTCAATACATACATTCTGAGTTTTTATTAGTTTATCTTCTAGAAGTTGAAATTTATTTTTCAAAGAGATTAGTTATTTCATCATTGATTTAATAGTTGATGCAACAGTTGAAAAGAAGTTTAATTTTGTTTGACTGAGTGATTCGTTTGATTATTATTTCTATTTTAAATAGTATCAGAATAAGTTGGTCTTTTGATTGATTAGAGGAATCATGATTATGTGGAATATTAGGTTTTAATATGAAGGTTTTTGATTTATATTATACTGGTTTAAATCTATTATAAAGAAGTTTAAAAGAATTAGAACGAGAACTAAAAATAGGTAACATAATTAAAAAAATAGCGCAATTGAGTTGCAACTTGTGGCATAATTAAATTTCTTATGATACAATTAAGTTGCAACTCAATTAAAATTTGAAAATAATTATGAAAACCATCTTTAATGAGGATAATTATTATATAATTGAACCTTATGATTTGAAGAACCACAGGAATTACAATGTCGAATTCCTAAAATACAATTTTTGAATTTTTATTGTAAGTTAAAAGTATAATTATAATCATCAATATTATCAAAATTGATATACGCATATGATCTTAGTCAATATTGTTTGTCTCTTGGAATAAAACATGATTTTGTCTTAATCTGAGTCAAAAAATCAGACAGATCTAATTAGGTGGTATTAAAAGACAGTCTGATAAGTTTGAGTTCAAATTGTTGATGAAAAGCAATTTGAATTTTATTATCAGTAGGTTTGATTCTAACTGAAAATTCCATTAATAAGATAGACCAAGTGGTATCATAAAATTATTGAATTGAGTCAGGTAATTCGTATATAATAAAGTTGTTCAAAAAAATCTTCTAAAGTAAATTTATTTTTTCTATAAATTTCACATTTCTAAATAAAATTTTTCTTTTACATATATTCTTTTTTATATAAAACTTTTACTATTATTTTGATAATTTTAAAAAACTTAAACTTTATAATAAATGTATTTGTCTCTTTCTTCTTCATAATTTTAACTTGCTTAATATTTCTTTTTAAAGGATTTTTTACAAAATACATATAATAAGGATTACAAAAAATAATATTTTTTCTTTAAAATTTCTTTGTTAGGCTTTTATTTATAACTTTTCTCTATTTTTTTCTTTTGTTAATAAATGAAATTTACTTAATTCTATAGCATTATATCCTTGCAATTCTTTTCTCAAATATATTAATAATTATGAATTCAAATAAATTCACTTAAAATTGTTAATTTATAGTATTAAAAGCTTTAGTATCTATTACACATTTCTAGTATAGATCATCTATACAAGGTTCTTGAAAAAGTATTATAAAAGATATAAAAAAACTTTAATAAATTATGTAATTTCCTTATATAAAATATGATTACCTCTAAAGATAGTAATAAAAGAAAGCAGTGTTAGCAAATGATTTAATCAATCAAATTTTTAGGTTTTAATCATATCACTCTATTATTATAAAGTCATAAATAATATCACGTGATTTTAGATTTGAAATCCGTTTTGAGTATTTTGTAATATTAATTTCTATATATAGTAATTTTATCGCCGACCGAATTTGTCAAATTTATAATACTGACCTGAATTATAAATTATGGTCATAAACTTTTCAAATGACAACATATGACAAGTCATATAAGTCATAAAGGTCAAATGTCATTTGCCAACATTGGGAGGGAGAGTCAAGTCCGATACTTTTGCGTAAGTGAATTTTCAAAAATTTAAGCCATTATTATTCATATAAATTTTTTTATTATTTACATCACCGTTTCAGAGAGAAATAAACGAATTGCGAGCAGCTACTCATTGTAAATTTGAATTCTAACGAGTCAATTATTTATGCCTCATGTATTAATTGTTGATATTACGTTACACCTGGATAATTTTTGAATGTTTTGTACAACTATCATCGGAGATTCGGAATCCTATTTGTGACCCCCATACGACTCGGAAAATTTATACGACGTACAGTACATTGATTATCAACAAAGAACTCTTTAATAGGAAAGTATTGAATGATATATATACCACAGGAACAAAAAAGTGAATCTTTGTCGATACTGTAAGTCTCATTTGTTTGCTGTCACGTAAATCATTATCAAGTTTTACAACTAAAGACAAAGATTTTTTCAATGAAAAACGAGAACACAACTTCGGCTTTCGGATATGCAGAAATTTTCTTATATAAGATAAAAAAATATATGAATCTTTTCTTGAAATGAAAAAAATTTTTTTTTTCTTATCAATCTTATATAAACATCATTCTCGATAAAGAAACTTCTTTCACGAAAAAAGCAGTAGGCCACAGAAACTCAATTAAGAAAAAAAAATTTTTTTTTGATTTCCTAATCTCATTGTTTTAAAAAAAAAAATTTCTACCGGATATCACTTATTTTGCTGGCAAAAAAGTAGATCCTGCATTTCAACATCTTACCTTTTAGTTCAAACAATAAAATAATCACTCACATCTATTCTTTTAGAAACTCCTTTATTTACAATAATAGACTAATCATTTAAGTATCATAAATAATTGGTTTGTCCCCATTTTTTTAAATTTAAAATCTTGTTATAGTCAATCTCGTTATAAGCGGATTACTGAATAAACTCACGTCACAGTGAATTGTCTTTCCTTATAGTAGATATAGTGAACGTTTAAAAAAGAATTCACATAACGATACAATATAACGAGTAACGATCATAGCAAAAGATTATCTCTTTATTTCTCGGGGATCTCCTTACACACAATTAATCCAACCTAGTTTTCACACCAATTGGTCCTTTTGTTTATATTCAACCATTCCTTACACAATTCATTCATTGCGCAATAACTTATTTTTTTCATCGTGAAAACCATTTCATTAATATGAGCGAAAGCATATCATTAATAACATCATTATCATTATCATTAATGATTCCAGTCAAGAAACGAATGAATCGATTTAAATCAAATAATAATGATCCCTCAAAAAATCCTCCTCGAGCGAATTCATTTCCTATAAGTTACTATTTTCCTCTGATTACCGTAGTTACTGACAATGTAGTATCAACATTACAATTTTCATTCGCAATAACACAGGCATTATTCTTTACAATAATATCAACTATATGTACTTTATTCCATGTGATCATAATAAATTACGATCATTATTATGCGTTAACACATAACTTCATTTATTCCACTCTTTTATTTAAGAAGAAGGGTAAACGTGTCAATTTTCGCTTATCACATGATGAATATATCCTTCCTTCTTTTCCAAATTCAAGGAATGTTGAAATGGAGGAGGACGTGATTGAGAACGAAACAAAACGATCAGAGGAGAAGATGGAAAGTGTTAATAATAATAAGCAATTAAGGGCCGATTCTCATTCTACTACTGCGGTTGCGCAACAATGGGATCTTACCATTGATACTTCAAGAAAAATATCAAAATCATACAGCGAGGAATATTATACTATCAACATTTTAAAACATCATTCTGCTTCGATCATTAAGAACAATAATGTTGAACAACAACGTTATGGGTCTTTATCAACCTCAACAACGATTTCACATTCTTTGTATGATGTTAATTTAACATTTAATAATTCGAAAGTTGACACTCGTTCACATGAAATATCGGAACACAATACGACGACTGACGATAATCCTCAACTAGTGGCACGTGATACTACCTCTCCATCAAGTACGAAGGGAATGCGGCGACATACTTGGATGACATTTATTCAAAAAAATGACATTCAAAGTTCTTCAACCTCAAAACGAAATAGTTTAGGAATTTGGGAAAAGGTTAAGGGAAATATTAATGGGTCATCGAGAAAAAATAATGATATGAATAGCAATATCTCAACAATTATTAAGCAGGAAAGATCAAAATCGAAATTAAAAAAGCATAAAGGATGGGATCCTTCTCCAATAAATTTTTTTTTCCATTCAAAACATCCCTCTCCTAATAATTTCGATAATATTACAACTTCACCTATACCTAGTTTAACTCATTCCGCTTCGAATTCAACTTCTATTTCCCCCACCTCCACACTTGTTAACGTATCAATTAACGATAATGTTTTAAATAATAATATTAAAGTTCGGATAAAGAAAAGAAATTCTTTACAAGGTTTTCTTAAGGAATTCACTAATAGAAGGAAAATATGTTTACCGAATGGTGATGATAAAAATTCGAAAAAGAAATATTAATTTCAATAATATATACTTGGAAAAGATCGCTTTGTACATATTTCAATAAAAAAGGTTTAACCAATTATGCATGTGCACATGATATTATATATTTTTATAAAAAATGAATACTTTTTTACCATATCTACATATCTTCGGGTTTTACAAAAGTCATCTCAATCGATACAGAACAATTGATATGTTCCTGAACTAACCAAAAATGAAACCGGGTGGGTCGATCAGAAATGGTTATATATAAATCATACATCATTAGTTTAAATCCAAAAAAAATTTTTTAACTTTCAGAATTTATAACCACACATATCATATCATTAAAATGACATCATTGAAAGAATGGATTGATACAAAGATAAAAGATGGTGACATTACTCACTTTGAATATGCTGAACTTAGCGAATTAAAAGTAATAGGTAAAGGAGGATTCGGCATCGTGCATAGAGCGGATTTGGTCAGCAGAGGAATTCAAGTTGCATTGAAAAGCTTCTCAAATAATGACGCAAAAATCGATAAGAATGACGTTGCAGATCTTGTCAAAGAAGTATGAATATATTTTTTTTATGAAAAAGTTGATTATACCGGATATAAAAACATCAAATTTATTGTTACACCCTTTGTTTAGTTAAAATTACTTCGTATCGTTCATTATCATCCAAATATCAATCACTTTATTGGAATAACGTACGGTTCGTGTAAAATTTCCTATTTTTTTCTAAATAATTTACTCAAATCTAATAAATATAATTTCCTTGTGTTTAAAATGAATAGATGATGGTGGTAATTACAAAATGATATTGGAATATGCCAATGGGGGAAATTTAAGAGATTATTTAGGAAACAAAAGAAATTTTATTTCATTACAATGGAAAGACAAGATCCGAATGGCATTGGATATTACTTCTGGATTGATGTGTTTACATAAAGATAACATAATTCATAGAGATTTGGTAAATACCTTATATAATTGTATTATCATATCGTTATAGACTATTAATCTTATAAATATCAATTTTTTAAAAGCATTCAAAAAATATATTAGTTCATAATAATAGATTGATGATCGCGGACCTTGGATTGTCTAAGAAGATTACTGAGGTTACAACAACTTCAAAATTTGAAGGAATGGCAGAATATATTGACCCACAATGTTATATAATAGATAAGTATATAAGAGACAAGAAGTCAGATATATATAGTTTAGGCGTCCTATTATGGGAAATCACAAGTGGACGCCCCCCGTTTTCGAACTTTGATAATAGATTCACATTGATCTATCAACTTATTAATTCTCAAATTAGAGAAAGCCCAGAAGAAAATACACCTTTAAAGTATCAACAACTTTATCAAAAATGCTGGAATCAGAATCCAGCGATAAGACCTGATATTAATGAAGTTTATGCTAGATTAAAACAACTGGATGCACAATTCAATGGTGTTGACTCGGATGATTTTATCATTAATGAGGAAAGAGAATCAAGTGAAGCATTAATTGAGATTTCTAAAGTTTATATAATTCACAACGACACCGGTCCTACGAAATCTCTCGATTTTGATCGTATTATAGAATCTCATAGGCCAAAGTCACGAGCAATTTTCGATTATCTTATTAACAATCCAACAATTGATCATTATGACGTCATGATTGGAATTTTTCATTATCATTATTCTGAGAGTGAAAAATATGAAAAATTCTATCAATGTGTTATGAAAGCGAGTGAAAATGATGATATTTATGGTCATTTTGAACTTGGACGTTGTTATTATCACGGTTATGGTACCGAAATTGATAGTAATAAAGCAATTGAGCTTTTTGAACGTTCTGGATTAAATATAGCTTTATATAGACTTGCAGATCATCATAACCAATGTGGCAATTTACAAGAAGCATTTGAATTATATACAAGATCTGCTGAAAAGGGATACGTTATATCACAACAAATAGTAGGCGAATTCTATTACTCTGGTAGAGTTCCTCAAAAAGACCATGAAATTGCCTTAAAATGGTATAAAAAATATCAAAATGGCGGTGGGATCAATGATGTTGAAGAAAGGATTAAAGATATAGATGATTATTTAAATAAGATGCATTTAGCAATAGGGGTTTTTAATTTTTTAACTAAAAAATTTATTCGTCCATGAATTTTGGCTTTTACTAAAATATTTGATTGAGCACCAATATTTATTTTATATATATAGGTTATCTGAACAATTATAAATTTAATTTCTAATAGATGCAGATCGGGGAAAAATATCGGTATCTCGAATTAAGAAAAGGTTGTCAATATTGGTGGTATAATGAAAAATATATTTTTAATAAAATATTATTATATCATTAAATAAAACTATCGCACGTTATTTTATTTGAATAAAATATCTGAATATTCAAATGTCCTTTTCACTTAATATTTATAAGCCTTTATTATTTTTAAAATCATTTATTGCAAACAGTTTCTGATTTTCTTTTTTTTAAAGTTGAGACAATATAAATAATGTAATTTAAAAGTATTATAATAAAAACGGGATCAGCATATTGAATTTTTAATATAATAATTCTTATTCTTAATATATTAAAAATAATGGTTGCCTATTTACTGTAATACTTTTTAAAGAATATTATATTTTTCTTTAAATTTGTTGAAATATTTAATTATTTATAAATTATTAATACAAATAAATTAAAGATCAAATAATACATTTTAATAAAATAAATATTTCAATAATTTATTTCTAATTAAATAAAAATTTTAATATTAAATAAATAATAAATACAAATAATTTATAATTTAAAATTATTTAAATAAGTATTTTTTTTAAAAAAAAAAAAAATAAAATTATATATTATTAACAAATAATAATTTTAAAAAAAAAAATCCATAAGAAATATTTTATTAAAAATAATATTAAAAATACTAAATATTATATTTTAACTAATATTTCTTTATTAATAAAAGTATAAAAATTTATTTATGTATAATAATAATCTTATTAAAAATAAAAATATTATTATTATATTATTAAAATTTTATTATTAAATAAATCACTTGAATTATAATTTTTTTTTATTAATCTTTTTAATAATAAAATTATTAATAATATATTTATTATTTATTATCTATTTTAAATTAATTACTACATTTTTATCTTTTAATAAATTAAGTATAAAAATTTATTTATGTATAATAATAATAATAATAATCTTATTAAAAATAAAAATATTATTATTATATTATTAATATTTTATTATTACATCACTTGAATTATAATTTTTTTTATTAATCTTTTTAATAATATTTACTTTTAAAATTATCATATTTATTATTTATTATCTATTTTAAATTAATTACTACATTTTTATCTTTTAATAAATTAAGTTATTTTGAAAACATATTTACTTTATAATTAATTCAAAATCATATTTAATTTTAAATATATAATAATTTATTATAATAAAGAAAGTTTATTAATAATTAAAATTTACTTTTATATATTAAATATAGTGAAACTTCTCTAAATGCATCCATTCTCTTGAAACTATAATGAAAATTTGCATTTAAAGAATGTATATATTTAAAAAAAGAAATTTTGTATAATCTTTATATACTTAAAGCTATGTAAAATATGCATTTATAAAAAACATATATATGCATACATTTAAGAAAGATGTATTTAAAAAGATTTTACTGTATGTTTTTTAAATAAAATATATTTATGCTTAATTTATAATTTTTCTTCTTTACTATAAAGTACTTATATATTTTAACAACTTTAATATTATAAAAAATTGTTCTTTAATGATTATCCTAGAAAGTATCAAGTTTTTTTAATCATAATATATAACAAATTTACTAATACTGTGAACTTTTGATATAACAAATTCTAAGATCTAGATATCAACTTTGTTATAAGCTTATAACGAATTTTTTAAAGTATTTAATTGGATAATTCACTATAGTAAGGTAATTTTAATATATTTGATTTAAAAATTCGCTATATCAAGGATTCACTATATCAAGGTTTAACTGTAT